CTGCACCCTCGGTCACTTTAAATATCCAAAATGGCCACTGCTTGTAAACATTCAAAATGGCTGCACCTCGGTGACTTTAAATATCTAAAATGGCTGCTGCTTGTAAACATTCAAAATGGCTGCGCCCTCGGTCACGTTAAATATCCAAAATGGCTGCCATACGTAAACAATCAAAATGGCTGTGCCCTGCGACAGCAGAAAGTCCACAGCTCAGGTTGTCTCCCTCCTTGCTGTTTCTCTTCCTAGTCATAGGCCACCAGAGCAGTTGTCCCTGCAGCCCTTGGTGACTGAGACTGATCTTTAGGTCAATTCTCAGGTCCCAACACCACTTGGAAATATTCAGGCTGTTGGTCTCATCAGAGTAGCTGACAGTCCGCAGCTCCGACCATCTCTGTACTCACTGTTTTCACTCAGGTTTTTCCACTATTTGGTGCCTAATCCACTTCTGTATAGTTCCTTTCAAAGCTCAGGGTTCCAGGATTATCTTCTGTATCTCTGTCAATTGGTTTTACTTTTCTTTGTTGAAGAGGGTCTGTGTCGCTTGTCTGCCTATTCCTCTATCTTACTGGAAGCACTTAGTAGGTAAGAGACAGTATTAATTTGAGAGAAGGGAAAGGCAAAATATAAATAGTAGGTAACTAGCACAATATCACTAAGGAAAAGGAAGACATGGAGAGGTGCACAAGAGTTATAGACAACAAAGGTAAATACTATTACATTCACAGTCCTGCATTATCAATAATAACAAACATTAATCTAATGGATACATGGGTAGATAGGCAAGATGATCAAGTAAGGATATGCAAATGGGAGTATACCAATGACCATATATGTAGGTTTGGCAGATGATATTTCTACATATGTACATGTGTGTGTGTTGTAAAATTGTCCATGTATATAGTAGAGCTAAGAGGGGGCAGTTATGAAAATTTCTTAATCAGCTTGAGGGAGTGGGTCACTGGGCCTGCAAGCTCAGGTACAGAGTCGCCAGGGACAGCAAGGTCAATTGGAATAACATAATCCACAAAGACACTGTTCTTCTGCATCCTACTTTGGTGAGTAGCAACTGGGTCTTGAAAGCTAGTGAGTGGCCATTTAAGGTGCAGCTATTGATCTTTCCTCATCCAAAGCAAAGAACCAGACACATGAAAACAATTAGTTCAAGGGACTAGTGGACCATGTGAACCCCTGCCTTTGTGACCCTGAGACCAGAACTAGATAGTGGCTGCCTATAGTTACCAGCCATTCTGAAAGGGACCACCATAGGAGATCCTGGATAGAGTGAGAGAAAACTATGGACCTAATCTCAAAATCATAAAAAAGACTAAGCTTACTGTTCTCTATGGCCCTTAGTCACTGAACTCACTCCCATGGGTCAGCTAGGCCTCTGAGGTGAACAATAACACCAAAGAAGTATACACTCCTTAGAACAACCAAACATAAGAAATCAAAAGGGCAGGACAAAGCTCAGAAGACAGGAATGACTAGGAAAAAAGAGCAAAGGGAAACAGTAACCACAGGGAGGAAGTGAGAAGAGAGCTGTTACACTGTAGGTATTGCAGTCAATGCCAGGAAATAAAATGTATATGAACTGTTGAATGGAAAATCAATTTACTCTGTAATCATTCACCCAGATCAAAAATTAATAAATACATTTTAAATTTTGTATTTGAAAGAAACAACATAATATACAATATATTAGATTTGAGAAATAAAAAAAAGACAATCAGTATTTAATATTATATTTTCATCGCTTCCTTTTGAGCATGAATCTAGCCAACACAAAAGTCTCCAGTAAGGAAAAATGTCACACTGAGAGTATCAACAAGGTAGCTGTAGCCTGAGAAGGATAAATATATAAGGATGTCATTTGCTAAAAGATAAGAGTTGCAGGTATTCTCTCTTTACTTTTATTTTATATTGTTCTCATCAATTTCAACAGCCTTAACCATTACTGAACAAGGAAATTGGAAAACTGCAGAATTGATTTCCAGAAGTGAAGTTCTATTTTTTTCTACATCTTCTGCATCAGACTTGCCATCATTTTTGTGTTGTGTGGTGTTATTATCGACAGTAGTCTGGGCACAGCTGATAAGTGCTAAAGGTCATTCTCTTAAAGGTGTAAGTAGAAAAAAACGAGGCAACTTGAGTCAGTTTTCTCATTTTCCAAATTTGCTGCTGTCATAATTCTTCATATTTGCTAGAATTTAAATGTAAAGGCTTTTTTATTCTCAAACAACCATGATTACAGCAATCCTCTCTATGTTTGGTTCCTAGGTAATAAATGTTAAAACTGTAAAGCTATAATTGTCTAATCTGAACTAAATATAAATATAAGTCCTTCAAATATTTTGACTTGCTTTTTCAATTTTCATCCTCACTGGATTTTACTTTTAAAATATTACAAAAATAATATTTACAACTATTTGGGAAAATTGCTTTGAAGGCTAATATAGTACTTAACACATTAAAATGAAAATTGGTTTACTTTTGTTGCTGCTGCCTTTCCAGACTGGCACCAGGTTATTAGCAGGTTCTGATTAAATTTCAAATTAGAGCTATTTGAAAACAAAGCTATGGCCTTCGGCTATTTCATATCAAAACTGAAACAGAACACCCTTGTATCCTAAAGGTCATCAAGAACAAATAGTTGTGTGACTATTGGCTCAATTTTGAGATCTTCCTACTTATTCTTTTTTTTTTGGTTTTAAATGACTTTATAATATGATGAAATCTTTCCAATGTAATACCATTTGCCCTATATATAGAATGGAGTCTAGTCACGTCCCAGGTAAATGGCAACCTTGTAATTTTAAATCACCATTATTTTTTCCTATTTACATTGGATTTCATTTTTTGTGGTCTTCTCAATTAGAAATTTTGTGAGTCAAGGAATCAAAAAACTTTGTTTTAATTAATCAAACAATATTGCCAAGATTTTTGTTAATTCAGGGAGATTGAATTACATGAAGAAACAAAGTGGTTTTCAGGCCCAAATTTCTTAAGTCACAAATTATGAAATTTTGTTATGAAACAAAAATGAAACGCCAACAAAAAAATCCCTATTTTAACAGGTTTGATAAGGTTGCCAAACACAGAATGCTCAATTAAATTAAATTTCAGGTAAACAATGAATCATATTTTAGTTTAACTGTGTCAAATGTTGCATGTCCTTTATTTTAATTTGCTAAATTTGGTAACCATAGGACTGATGCCATTTTTTCCTTAATACCATCAACATGGTAAGTGAAAACCCCACTATTTTCATAAATTAGAAAGCAAGAAAATTAGGTTAATTAAAAAAAAGGAAAGTTATGAATAACAAAAGTTAAATCAATTTCATCCACGCAGGACCGTGCAGTCAGGGCTTTCATAGAGAGGAGCTTCTTCTTGTTAGGTGCTGTTGAGTTGACTCCAAGTCACAGCAGTCCTGCATACAACAGAGCTATAAGATCATACTTTTTGATGTCTATACACATCAGACCTGAGGAAATGTCAGTCCTGTCAACCTACATGGGATTTTTCAGCAGACTTACAGAACAGGTTATTTTCTATCATTAATTAATGAATTCATTCATTCATTTTTTTCTCCCTCTCTCCCTCTCTCTTTATCAAGTTAAAATCCAAGATCCTTTAACTCCTTTGTCAGAGAAGTTCAGTTTTTAGATTGTTTCATTATTAGAATTCTTAGATGCATGGGGTAGCTAATTATTTCTCTACTAAAAATTCCTTCTCATTCACAAACAATACTTTATCTTTCAAAGGTCTAGAAATGGTGTTCCTAATGTGAGCTCATTTGTTTACATTTATTTTAAAAGTTTTAAGTATCTATAATATTCCAGGCACTCTATTAGATTTTCTACATAACATGAGTAAATGAAGGCATGTCAACAGTAATATTTCTGCATTTTTTCAAAGTTTTGCAGCCTCTGAGGTGGATAGAATAGGAATTATTCTTATATTACAGGTGAGGGACCTAAGTGCTCAAGAGTTGAAGAGTCTTATCTAAGGTACCATATACAGTAAGTAAAGAAGCAGGGCTCCAGGAATTCCCCTTGGCTCCAGGCTCAGTGCACTCTCCCATATTGTTTTCAAAGGAAATCCCAGACCACTTAGTATATTAACCCTTCTATTTCCCAGCAGCAAAAAGGCATCTCGAATACCTCTATAATGCTCACGAGCTTTTAAATGTGAACAGGTGTTTTCTGAGTGGGCGAGGAAAGCAAGGCATGAGTGGGAGTTAAAGATCTTCAACAGCCGCTGTAACCAGACCAAACTAATCTGTGGAAACCGAAGCATCGTCCAAGGGGATGCTATTTCAAGTGCGTGTCACAGGTGACTCATCTGAGATGACTTGCCTTTGGGCCTCTGGATATTTTTCTTCAGCATAGAGTGTCAGATTTCTTTCTCATTTTTGGACAACAGCGCTCTTGCCCATTTCCAAATTTTTCTGGTTTCACAGCCCTTAGGCAGAGCCTGGTCTCATATCGAAAGCTGGACATGGCAGGAGGTTTAGGAAATGAAGAACAAGTTCTTTTTAAAAAAAAAAAAAAAAGAAGAAAGAAAAGAAAAGAGCTTGGTCCAGGACAGAAACATAAAGGAAATTTGCACTTTAGGCTTTCCCTACTCCTGCCTCTCAGAATGACAGCTCTCTTCAGTCAGAAGACTACTTATCCCGGCAGGCACCGCATGCCCTACGGCCACAGGCTGGCAAGCTCCCTGGTCTCCACCGTCTCCCGAACCCGCCAATAGGAATCCCTGGCTTGGGCCTCCTCCGAAGCCGGACCACGCGGAAGCGGGGGCAGTAAAACTACATTTCCCGAGGCCCAAACGCGCGCGTCTTGGCCAATCGGCGCCGGGAATTCAGAGGTTGGGGGAGGAGTCGGCCACAGGGTCCACCCCATTGGCTAGTGGTGGCTTAGAAGAGCCGGAACCCGGGAGAGAGGGAAGCGAAATGACATTTCCTCTTTAAATAGCTGGAGCCGGGGGCACGTTGAGAAATGGCCGCGTCGGCAGGTGGGTCGTGTGGTGGCTGAAGAGGTTTGGGGGAAAGTGGGTCGGGGGCCAGACATAGATTGTGAGCTGAGAAGGTAGCGGCGACGATGAGGGCTGGCGGAGAAAAGGATGGAGAGATGGAGCGGGCAGTGAGCGTGGGAGGATGGATGGTGCGGAGGGCGGTGGGCGGTCCGGACGGGTAAGGATGGGAGGCTGGGTACCCGCCGCCGTTCCGACCCGTTCGGAAGGCGGTTGAAGGGGAACCGGTGGCCGCAGTCCTTCGAGCTTCCCTTGTGAGGCTCCTGCCCTCCGCTTTCTAATGGGACATCCCAGCTCTCGGCGGAGTCATCACAGACGCCTCGCCTCTCCTGCCCGCACGGTCCCTCGGCGAGCGCGGGGCGTCGTGCTCGCTGGGCTCCCGGAGGAGCAGCGTGGCCTTTGAAATTGTTTGGCAGCTCACTCTCTGCTCTTTCTCTCTCAGATCCTAACTCGTGGTCCTATATGAGGTGATATCTGTGCGTGTGTGTGTGTGTGTGTGTGTGTGTATATATATATATATATATATATATATATATATATATTTCTTATAAGGGGGGAAAAACGCAAGCAAACAAGCAAGCAAGAAAGCAAAAAAAAAAAAAAAAAAAAAACCCTGCGACGCCGTAATTGGCTCGGAACTTCTTGAGGTTGTACGATTTTTCTCCTCCTAGATTTAAGTAAGTCTTCCCCAACACCGAATGGGATTCCATCTTCAGACACAGCCAACGATGCCATGGACCCCTTCCATGCTTGCAGTATTCTTAAGCAACTCAAAACAATGTACGATGAAGGACAGTTGACAGACATTGTAGTGGAAGTGGATCACGGGAAAACATTTTCTTGCCATAGAAACGTTCTTGCTGCAATCAGCCCCTACTTCAGGTATGATGATGATAGAAACTTCTACTGATATCTACACTGAGCTCCCTTTCCCACTCTGTATTGTCCACTTGATTATTATACTGATGCGGCAATGGAATGAAACAAATGAGTTTGTTTCCTGAAGGCTAGATAATACTTCTTACCTTATTAACACAGCCCTTGATTTTGACCTAAAAGCATTCCTCTAAAATATACGTGGTTGTTTTTTGAGTTAGTCTGTTTGTGTGTGTTTGTTTTAGGTAGATAAATCTAGAACTGTGCTGCCCACTAGGGCAGCCATTAGTCACATGTGGCTATTTAAATGACCTAAAATTAAAAACTCAGTTCTTCAGGCACACTAGCCACATTTCAAATGCTAGTGGCTGCCGTATTGCACAGTGCAGATAGAGTATTTTCATCATTAAAAGCTTTATTAGAATTTTAATCTAGAATTCTAAAAGTTTATTCATGACGCATATTTCGTTAGTTCATGTAACTCTTTTGACATTCAAAATATGAACGTCTGTTCCTTTAAAAACAAATAACCAAGCAGTAAACCAAAAAAGCCAAACGCACTGCTGTGGAGTCTCTGGACTCATGGCGACCCCTCCTTGGGTTTCCGAGGTGGTTTCACTATGGAAGTAGATTGCCCCACCTTCTTTCCAAGGAGTGGCTGGTGGTTTGAACCTCCAGCCTTGTGGTTGGCAGTCAAATGCCTTAGGCACTACATTAGATTGTTTTAATGCAATGGTGGTAAAAGCAGTGAAAGAAACTGTCATCTCTGTGTACCTTAGACCCCAGACTAGGGATTATTTCCAAGATGTTCCGAAGTATTTTTAAGCTAGGTTCTCATTTTCATTTATGTTAATATTTGTGAATCATAAAACTTTGAAGAGTGAAATTTTAAAACCTGAGTCTAAAAAATAATTTCATACTCTAAGATAAGTGATAAAAGCAATTTCCTGTTGAGTTTATCTCCCTTTATTTCCAGTGCTCACTTTTTTAAGCATTTCAGTAAAAAAGGAGTACATGAATGATAGTAAAATCATCTTCCCAAACACACTCTAAATGTACTTTTTCGTTTTGAAGGTGCTTACTTTTATAGGGCACATAGTAGTGTAGTGTTCCAGATAGTAGTTTCTGGTTCCTGTTTCTCAGAATACTGGGTTAAATATAGTCACTTCAGTTTGATACTTGTGATGTAACCACTTAGACTTGCCTAGGGTAGGTCACTGGACTACTAAGTATTATCCATCACATGACAGGAGCTGGAAAGAAAAAACATGAAACGCACATACCCAGAAGGTAAGAAGTTTGGCCTGGCGATGGAAACTCCTGGGGATATTTCACTATCCCAGTTTTCATTTAGGTATGGTTAGATCATTTATGTGTTTACATATATGTCACACGTGCTTTACATGTATTGCCTTACATAGTCTTTATAATCCTGTCTGCACAGTTGTTTTCCTGGTTTTATATATGAAGAAACTAATGCTCAGGGAGGTTAAGTGATTTGCCTAAATCACTAGGAAGTAGCAAAGGCAGGATTTGATTCTGGAGCCAGGGGTCTTAGTCACTATATGACTAAGGAACAAGAGTAGGTACTTTTTACAGTTGCCTTTCAAAAGCTTTTTGTATATATAAATTTGAGTAGTAAGAAAAAACAATTGAAACTACCAAGTGAAAATGTCTACATTTTATTGAAATTTTGTACTCTGAAGTATATAAATGTCATAATTAAAATTTGTTTTGAAGACTTAGACTAATTGCTTTGAAAGAAGTATACTACAATAGATTTTCTTGAAAATGCGTGGAAAACTTTTTGAGCAAAAGATACATGAATTCAAATGAAGATATTTGGAAAGAAACTTACAGATTAGGTTCTCATTTCTTGCTAGAGGTATTTCTGTAGAATAACTTTCTTGGCACCAGTGCTGCTCCTTTTGTGGGATGTAGAAAGTCATTACTTAATAATTTCAAAGTCTTGCATCACTAGTGTATGAATTAAAATAGCTGGAAATCTGGCATGAAACTTTTGGGAACTCAGTGACTTACCAGGATTAAAATTTGTGTGATTATTATAAACTTGCTGTTGCTCAATATTTTTTGTGAGGAGGTGCTCCTACTTTATATAGAGTTTACATACATAATCTATCAGAACAAATAGAAATCATCTATTTGAGAATTTATCAAATGTCAAATGGCTCCTTTGTATGACCAGCCTATTCATGTCAGTAGTCGTTCCCATGATAAAGGGATATGTGATAATAATGTTCTCCTTTGAGAGTTAATTGCTCCCTAATGAAGGACTTCATTTTTCTTTTTAATTGGTAGCCTTTCAGCACCTGAATTGAAAACCAGGTTATACATAGGAACATGCAGTTTTAGTAAGCAAAAAGGCCTATGTGATAATAAACTTAAAACTTACATTGCATAAGTAAAAATAGGACTCAAAGATGGTTAATTCAGGCAGCAAGCTGAGGCCTTGTGCCCTGTATACCTCTAGTATTTCTTACACTGCATTTTAAAATTAATTTCATATGCTTGATGGACTCCTCGGAAGGAAGGTTGGGCAATCCTACTTCCGTAGTGATACTGCCTCGGAAACCCAAGGAGGGGTCGCTATGAGTCGGGGCTGACTCGATGGCACATAACAACAACAACAACAACAACAAATGCTTGATGGAGGCTTGAGAACTAAATAGAAATCTTCCTATTTAAGAATGTTTTTCATAACATTAAAAAAACAAACAGAACAAAACCTGTTGTCATTGAGTCAATTCTGATTCATAACATAGAACTTACAAATAACATGGAAGGGATCTAGAGCTGAGTTATCAACCTTATCACTAATAGGTTAATTTCTTCCACAAACATTTGTTAAACATCCTGGACCTTGAAAACAACCATAAATAGCACACAGCCCTTTCCTCAAACGGCTTTTAAAATTGTTTTAATTTGATTTTTATATTTAATTTTTAAAGCTGCCTAGAGAGAAGCATTAAAGGAAGGGGGCAGGAGAAGGCAAATGGCATTTGTATATGATCAATAGAATATAAAGAGCCAGCCTTTTGAATACTTAATGCTTTAGCCAAAAAAGTACTATAAACACACTGAGACGTTCATTGTTTATAAAAAAGTTTGGTCTCGAAGGAAGAATTTTAGGATTTTACAAATCATTATCCCCAAAGAATTAGCTAGCTTTTATACTCTATTTAGAAGGAGCATTATAACTCTAATATAATCTTTTTGTTGTGTCTAGATACAAAGTATGGTAATTTTGAGAAAATTAGGTTTATCTTTTTAAACAAAGGTTTTTAAACTGTTCAAGGGTAAATGTTCTTTATGTTCTTTATAATGATTAAGGAACCATTCAAAAGATAATACTTTTGAAAAAGAGTAGGTAGAAAATAGGCAGTTTTTAGAGCATCCTGCTTTTTTAAGATTAACTTTTTAAAGGTATATTCTGGGCACAAATGACTAAAAATTTTCACTGGGACATGAACAGTTCTAGTAGACAGTCTCTTTGTGTGGTAATGTGTCACATTGATGTCCTAGAGGTATAAATTTTCTGACTGGCTTGATGATTTAAGATTTTGTATCTCTAAGGCAACTTTACCAGAAGCCTGGATAGGAGTGCCAAGGAAAATAAGTTGCCTTGGAATATACTGTGTCACCTTTTAGTTTGCTTTAATTAGGTATACTCTCTTTTTCTTAGAGTTGGCACAAAGGGTGCTGACTGGTGCTGAGAATAGGTTTTTTGAGATAAGCCAGACTAAATCTTTCTGCTAGATTATCAATTTTTATCCCTCTTCAGAATATCAGGAAACATCATATTAGGAAATTTTCATTCTGTTTCAAAAGGTTATCTATGTGGTAACTTTATACTTTTAAAAATTTGCCACGATAAATTTTATTTGTAGCACACATAGAATATTAACTACTCTTTCCTTCTTAGATCCATGTTCACTAGCGGCCTTACAGAGAGCACTCAGAAAGAAGTTCGGATAGTTGGTGTTGAAGCTGAATCGATGGATTTAGTGTTGAACTATGCCTACACCTCCAGAGTTATTCTGACAGAGGCCAATGTTCAAGCCTTGTTCACTGCAGCTAGTATCTTCCAGATTGCTTCCATCCAAGACCGGTGTGCTAAATATATGATCAGTCATTTGGAGCCACAAAATTCTATTGGAGTTTTCATCTTTGCTGATCATTATGGTCATCAAGAACTCAGAGATCGATCAAAAGAGTACATTCGTAAAAAGTTTCTATGTGTCACCAAAGAACAGGAGTTTCTTGAGTTGACTAAAGACCAACTCATAAGCATACTAGACAGTGATGACTTAAATGTAGACCGAGAAGAACATGTTTATGAAAGCATTATAAGGTGGTTTGAACATGAACAGAATGAAAGAGAAGTGCACCTTCCAGAAATTTTTGCCAAATGCATACGTTTTCCTCTAATGGAAGATTCCTTTATAGAGACAATTCCACCTCAGTTTGCACAGGCGATCGCCAAAAGCTATGTGGAAAAGGGACCATCCAGTACCAATGGCTGTACCCAGAGGCTTGGAATGACTGCTTCTGAAATGATCATCTGTTTTGATGCTGCCCACAAACACTCAGGAAAGAAGCAAACAGTGCCTTGTCTAGATATAGCCACAGGAAGAGTGTTTAAACTATGCAAACCACCAAATGACCTGAGAGAAGTTGGGATTCTTGTGTCACCAGATAATGACATTTACATTGCTGGAGGGTACAGGCCAAGTAGCAGTGAGGTCTCCATAGACCATAAGGCAGAAAATGATTTCTGGATGTATGATCATACTACCAATAGATGGATATCCAAACCATCCTTGCTTAGGGCCAGAATAGGCTGCAAACTGGTGTATTGCTGTGGTAAAATGTATGCGATTGGAGGTCGTGTTTATGAAGGTGATGGGAGAAACTCACTAAAATCGGTGGAGTGCTATGACAGCAGAGAGAATTGTTGGAGGACTGTCTGCGCAATGCCTGTTGCAATGGAGTTTCATAATGCTGTGGAATACAAAGAAAAGATCTATGTTTTACAGGGTAGGTGTCCAAGCGATTTAGTTCTTCATGGAAGGGTGACACATCCAGTATGGTTTAGGTAATGATCCTAAAACAGGTGTTTGCTTCTGTTAATCAAGGCGTACCTCTCACTTCCTTATAAACTACTTGTTGTAACAGTTCTGTTCTTTAAAGGACCTATGAAAAAAGATTAGCTTTTGAGTTAAAGGGGTTGTTGTTGTTGTTGTTGTTTGCCGTCGAGTCGGCCCCGACTCATAGCGACCCCTCCTTGGGTTTCCGAGGCAGTATCACTATGGAAGTAGGATTGCCCAACCTTCCTTCCGAGAGTTAAAGGGGTAGGTATTTTAAAGTAACTAAAATGATCCTGTCAGTTATTAATGTTCTTACCTTCTTGTCATGTGGAATAAATTTTTTTTGAAAACATTCTTTAAAAAATAATAGTTGAGCATTTTTGGAGACTACTACTCGAGAGCACTTTTTAAGATTTTAAATGTTGAAAGCAAAGTAAGCACGTGACTTTTTTCTTCTTCAGTAATACATAATCAAGAGAGGTTGCAGCAATCCATAAGAGCAATTCCTCTTATGGAACTTACTGGATTAGTTCAAAAGAAAAATATCAAAGTATTAAATTTATACTATTCACTTGCCAAGGCATTTTGAATAAGCCTTATGATCATAAAGGTTATGAAACTTCATTACAAAGAGTTGAAATTGCAGTCTTCCGGTTTTAATTCCACTGTAGCTTACATTGCCTTCCATAATACATTATTTTGAAGTTTTACATTGAAAACGTTGAGATGTTATCTTTTTTTTTTTTTTTTTTTTAACCACTGTAAGGTAAGAAGGATTATCTAATGTACTTAGTATGTGTGTGTTTTTAACTATGAAAGTTTTACCAGTTCTGGTAAAGATGATGCAGTGGAAGTGGAAAGAGTTATGGAGAACTATGCAGTGTTTCTTGTAAGGTTCTGATTTATGATAGCTCATGTTTTTACAGTGTTTGGTTTGTTAATATTTTTGTTCCTTGAATGATGAATGCATTGTAGATAATACCAAATCCTTATTCCTCATCTGCATTTGTTAATTGGTTATATATGAATATTTTTCTCATACTACTATTTTAATAAAACAAGGAAAAAGGGACAGCTTACTTGAAATTGACACTGATTTAGCTCATATCACATACAAAATTTAAGTTCTTTGCTCTAGTCTTTTCACCTAAAATTTCCTACAAATGCCTGAGCCTGTTAAAGTTCAAAATAAAATTAATTTTTTAGAAGGCACAGAACCTTCTAGTGCCTTACTTTACTTAGAGAAATGGGCATAATTTGTGTTAGTTCATTTTGCCAAAAAATGGAATGTTAGAATGAGTGTGTAACCTATCCAGTATGTGCTGTTAATAGACAGAGGTAGAATCAATTTTAAAACTCCCAACTGAAAAGTAAAGGCTGTATGTTAATATAAATACTAAAGCAAAATAACAATGAAATATAGAATTTCAGGGCTGGAATGAACATTGTGTAATCTGAGGTTATATTTTATATAATAGGAATATGAGGTTCTGAGTTTTTTCTCAGTCATCGTTGGTTTTAATTTATTAAAGAATACTTTGGATTTTAAAAATCAAGATTTTTGTGACATTCTTCCTTTTATAGAAAAGTTAACGTGGGATAGTACACTTGAAACCAAAAACCAGCTGCCATTAAGTTGATTTTGACTCACATGACTCTATGTGTGTCAGAGTAGAACTGTATTCCATAGGGTTTCAATGGCTGATTTTTCAGAAATAGATTGACAGGCCTTTCTTTCTAGGTGCCTCTGGATGTTCTTGAACGTGCAACCTTCTGGTTAGCAGTTGAGCTAACCATTTGCACCATCTCCTTTAGAAAGTTTTCATTCTTCTTGTCAAGAATCTTATGACAAGTTCTAATAAGGGCAAGTGGTGTGCAAATAAAAACTGGTGTTTTAACAAACTATTTTAAATAAAATTGAAGTTAAAGTATCATTATTAAGTAGGCAGTTGAATTTGTAAGAGTAAACCTAGCTCAGAAAAGACTTAAGGGGAAGTTTAATAAAAACAGTTATTTCTTATTTTAATCAAAGCTTATTTGCCTAGTTATGATGATTTACTTAATGATCCTCAAATGAATAGTTGGAAGCTGATGTTGTACTGTCTGTGAATAGTCAGTACCATTTAATCTGGTCATTAAGGGTTCAGATTTTTATAACAAGTACTGTACATAAGTATCGTAATTAGCAAAACTGGTCAATCATTACTGGATTAATTTTTTCAGACATTTTCATGTGGGCAGTTGGACTAAGAACACCCCTTTATTTTCAAAGTAGAATAGAAACTAACTCAAAGTCAAACTCATAAACCATGTGTGTTTCCTATCTTAATATAAGACATGTTGTCTTGAATATTTGTCTTTGCACTGTAGCAGCACTAAAGTAGTGTGAAAACTGTAAAAGTGACCCATATTCACATATATGGGAAATTCCATATACTATCTTCTATTCCAATAATTGGCGTACAAATTTATAGTGGCTTATTTATGATGAAGGGATAGATACACCCATACACACTATATATATGATGATAAAGGAATATATTGGTCTTACTGGGTAATTACTAATTTTTTTTTAGTTGACTTAAACTAGATTTTCTCTACCTCATAATTGGATAGAACAAATGGAGCCAAGCTCTTAATAATTTTTTTGCCATTGAGCCTAAGTATCCCATTACTCCTCCCCATAATGAATAGCCCCATTTAGACTGACTATATAATACTACATAATTCATTGTGTCCTGGAATGAAAAAGTTCTAAGGTGTTTTATAACCTCATATTAATGTATTTCTGGAGATGATAAAAGAACTGCTTAGAAGGTGAAATACTTAGAAAATTATGGTGTTTAGTTTCAGTGATTAGAATTCAGTGTAGAACCAAAAAAGATTAAAATGTGTATACTTTTGTTTTCTTTATTTTCTTCTTTTAGGGGAATTTTTCCTCTTCTATGAGCCTCAAAAAGACTACTGGGGTTTTTTAACTCCCATGACTGTGCCTAGAATCCAGGGCTTAGCAGCTGTATACAAGGACTCTATCTACTACATAGCTGGAACCTGTGGAAATCATCAACGTATGTTTACTGTAGAGGCCTATGATATTGAGCTAAATAAGTGGACTCGTAAGAAGGACTTTCCATGCGATCAGTCCATAAATCCATACCTTAAACTGGTACTTTTCCAAAACAAACTCCATTTGTTTGTTCGAGCTACTCAAGTGACTGTTGAAGAACATGTCTTCAGAACCAGCAGGAAAAATTCCCTTTACCAATATGATGACATCTCTGACCAATGGATGAAAGTTTATGAGACCCCAGATCGGCTCTGGGACCTTGGCCGGCATTTTGAATGTGCTGTTGCTAAACTCTATCCTCAGTGTCTTCAAAAAGTACTTTAATGCAGGCCAGAGTGAGTTCACTGGCATCTCATACTTGAGGAAACTTGTCTTACAGAGATACAAAATGCTGTCAGTATTTAAGAACGCCAAGAGAGTTTTGTACATGGGGATGGGTGCTCTTAAAGATTACACTGTAGGGAGGGGTTTGTTTTCATCTTTGTAATGTTTTCATTTTTAGTAAGGCAAAGGTAACAAAGTGCAATTATCAGCATTTTTTTTTTTTTCTTCTGGTATAAAAGTAATCATATCATTCTAGAATTTTGTGATAATCACTGAGACTACAGATGAACCAAGATAACTATGCACTCCTATAAGAGCAGCTAGGGTATTAATCGGTAGAGACATCCAAACTAGTTTGACGTGACTTTTAATTTTAAATACGGGTAATGATCTGAGGCAATATCACTAGGACTTGACTTTAGCTGTGACCTCCAACACAGAGGAGCACTAACTTAGATCCTCATTCTTAATATTTATATATATGTATGTGTGTGTATATATATATATATATATATATATATACACACACACATATATATATATATATATATTTGTGTACTCTTTCAAGTGTACTAAGATTTAAATGTGTTCTGTTATTAGAGCAAATTGAAGGAAAAACAAATCAGTTTCAGAAAAAGCTTTTAGTCTTGACTGATAACATATTTCATACGTAACTTTTAAGTTAAGGTAATATATGGTAAACTAGCAGTTTTCTGTCTAACTTTTTCAAGTGCTGACACTATCCTTTTTTTTTTTTAACCCAAAAAGGGCTCAAATTCACAGGTGGCTGGTGCTAGTGTAAGTTAATTCATGTGTGTAGCTAGATAGATTTAAATTGTTTGAGCCTATACTTATCTTTCAAATTGGAATGTTAGTTTCATGGTCATAGTACTTAACTTGTTGAACTCTTGTATTTCACAAGATTCTCTACTTATATGTTAGCAAGATATGGCCAGTTATTGTTCTAACTGGACTCAGTCTTAGAATAATGAGAGAATTCTGCTTAGTTTGCACTAACATGGGCCATTTTGTTGCCTGAATTCCTTTTCCATCCCCTACCTGTAAGAAAACTTACTCCTCTTCCACACAGAGTATAATGTGAAGTTATACACCTACTTTATAAATTCTGTTTTCTGGAATTGTAAAATTCCTGCAGTGGTCTAATTTAGTTGCTTTTGAAGTTATATATAGTGATTAAAACCTTTTTTTTTTTTTGCATTTTTACATTTAACAGTGATAAATATTTTTCCGTTGTTCTAGCTGAAGGCGATTGAGAAAAGAAAGTGTAAGTGAACAGAACCATAACAGTGTAGGTTCTAAGTCATTTTTCACATTTAACTGATGAATTTCTAATTATCAGCTAGGAACATTAACATGAAGGCCAAACCAACTCATTTATAAGACCTACCACAGATATTTGAAACAGTCACTTATTTTTTACTATGTTTAGAATAATTGCTAAAGTATATATGTGTAGCCCAGAGTCTGTCCTTAACAAGAACAGTTTTATTCTTGTAAAGAAAGCAAACTGGCTTGGTTTGCATTTAAAAATCTTGCACAAATTGTAATGTGATACTGTGAAACAAATTTAAAACATTGCCTCTTTGCATCACATACCTCGTTTTTCAGAAACTTTCCAAACTGCTTGTCATCGACCTCTACAAGTAGGGAGAGTTTTCTGAAGCAGAATCTAAAGTGGACCGTAATGTATAGAATTAACATTTAAAATCAAGTCTTAGAAAGCTAGATATGTAATTTCTTTTTGTTGGCCTTGATAGTGTTTATAATCTCTTCATAAACTTTATCAACCAATATATATATATTTTTTCCTATCCAGTTGTTTTGATCTTACACTGTATTCCTTATATTCATGTTGTTTTGGGTCTATTTCTCTGAGTTTTTTGATGCATTCTTTAGTGTTGCTGAGGGAAAGAAAAAACAAGATTAGAGGTGTTCATATAATTTAATTTTGAAAGCTTCATTGAATATCTAAGATTTCCTGCCGCTTTTTGACAATCTTCTGTATTTATTTAGGAAAATACATTACTTGAAAACATGACATAGAACATTGAGTTAGCAATGTCAATGTGCCGTATGACACAGAGGAGTATAATATACTGTGGTTAGTTAATTCTCCAGTAGATTTATTCTGTGATCTGCACAATTGATCCTTTTGTTATAGTAGTTTATATTGAGGGTATAATCTAAGTCTAGTGTGTTAAAGCCTAGGTTTAAGATTTGCTATGGGAGTAGAATATATACTGAATTTTGTATGAAGAACTATTTGTTTGAATTATATAGCTGGGACGTTTTGCCACTTTCAAAATAGTTTCTGAAGAGGTCCTAGAAAACTAAGATTAGTGTGTGGGTTTATGTTTAGATATTTAAGGTACGTTTGTATAGGATGATGAGAACATTAGTAAAAGGCACAATGGGTACTACAGAATTAAAATGTAAGTCTAATATATGCCAGTCTCACTTTAACATTATTTTGACATTTGAGGAATGTATGTAGCACTTTCCTATGTATTTTTTACACATTGAAAACTGGACTTGTTATGTTGTAGGAAAGTTGAAATTATATTCTTTATTTTCCATTTTTGTTGTCTGTTATCTTACAAAGTGAAGCATCAAGTTTATTTCATTGGTGCATGAGACAAAGTGGATGTAGTCTGCGAGGAATCAGATTCCCTCCATAAAGCAGTTTAAAATGGCATTCAATGTTCAGTGCTCAGGTATGTAGTAAGTACTGTAGTCTATGGGGGCAAATGTGTAGAGATTTTTAAACATTTTGCCATAATTGCACAATTTTTTCATTTTTACCTGATGTCATTGTTTCTTATAATAAAACCTTTTCTGATGGAAAACTTCCATTGTGTAAACAGACCTCTGACTAATGATTTGTGCAGAATTAAATTTGACACATCTTGAAATACTTCATGGTGGAGTGGATTGAGATTTTGATCTGTTGAATATTTGTCCTCTGACACAGAATCAACTAGTTAATATCACCTTACATAATGTTCTGTGAATTCTAAAGAAAGCTCACTTACATTAACTCTTGTTAAATTTGCTGTGGCCTGAAACCTTATGGTTATCCTTGTTTCTTCTCATGCTTCATATTGTATAAATAGTATTTGAATATGTTTGTGTATTACAACATACTCAAACACAGTTGGCCTTACCTTCAGACTATGCCCAGACATTGACCAAGAACCGCTTCAACTACTATCACCCTAGTCTAAGCAACTGTATCTTGTCTGGATTATTGCATTTGCCACGGAACTTGTCTCACTCCTACCAGTCTTGACCCCCTGTAATCTCTTCTGTTCTCCATGCCACAGCCAGACTGATTCTGTTAAAACATAAAGTCAGTTTGTGTCAAAATCCTCAAAGACTTCTCATCTCCTTTCTTAGGAGAGCCAAAATTCTTGCTTAAATTATCTGCACCTTTCAGCCCCACCTCTTGGATTTCATTGCCAATCTTCAGCTCAGCTCTGTTCTAGCCACACAGATCTAGCTGTTCCTCACACATGCCAAGTACCTCTAACATCAGGGCCTTTCCCCCTGCTGTGCCTTCTGTTGGGGAGCCCCCAGAGAGGCCTTAAGTAGCATAATACTCCTTCCAGCTTTAACTCATATCTATTGTTTTTTCCTGCTTTATTTTTTCTAAGTCTTCCTCCACTGGCATGTAAGCTCCATGTAGAAATTTGTTTTGTTTTATTCACTGTTGTACCTCACATCAGTACCTGGCATATAGTAGACTCTCAGAACATGTTTGTAGGAAAGAATGGATTTTCAGTTAATTCTTAGAGCACCCTGATAAGTGATAGAACCAATACTATCATCCCTATTTTACCAAAAGAAGCAAGAAGACCAGTTGAATTGCTAAAAGTCATCTAAATAGCAGGAGCTCAACTGGGTTGAGAACAAAGATCGCCACTTTCACCTTAAAGATAATGCTACTCCAGTTTCAAACAAAACTAACAGAAAAGGTAGATGCTGTTTATTTTGTGTTTAATGATGGCCTTTTTAGAGACTCAGGTGGTACAGTAGTTAAAGCATTGGGCTGCTAACCAAAAGGTTGGTGGTTTGAACCCACCAATCATTCCATAGGAGAAAGAGAAGGCAGTCTGCTTCCATAAAGATTTACAGTCTTGGAAGCCCTATGGGGCAGTACTACTCTGTCCTATAAGGTCACTATGTGTCAGAATCAATTCGATGGCAGTGGGATTGTTGTTTTTCAAGAGTCCCACCTTCCAACATTATTATTTAAAGTATCTACTATATTTATAACTGATTGTCAGGAAGTAGATGAAGTAAGAAAGTACTTTTCCTTTGTCATGCCACCTGCTTCCCTGTCATTGTATCCTTATAGTACTGTGCCATTATTGCGAGTTCTTTCCATAATATAAATTGAAAGAAAAAGAAAAAGTTTGAGAAAAACTAATTTAGAGTAGTGTTATTTTGTTTTTTAGGTAAACTTAAAATGGCTTGCCATTTTGAAATCTTGGTTGTATACTTGTAGATTTGTTGGAAAATTATTTGTAAAACAAAAACATAATTGGTCTAGGATTTCTAACTCTACTATGTATTGAATTATGTGCCACCCAAAAATATGTGTTGTAAATCCTAACCTGTATGTTTGTGGTTATAATCCCATTTGAGAATGTCTTTGTTATGTTAATGACGCAGGGTTAGCATAGGGTATGTTTTAAGTTAATCTGTTTTGAGATGTCAAAGAAATTAGACAAGCACTCTAGAGAAGCAAAGGTGGAGGAAGAGAGATGCCAAGCCACATGAAGGTTGCCCAGGAGCAGAAGCTCAGAGATAAGGACCTTCCTCTAGAGCTGACAGAGGGAGGAAGCCTTTGCCTAAAGCAAGTGCTCTGGATTTGGACGTCTAGCTAAGCCACCCATTTGTGGTATTTCTCTTATAACAACACTAGATAATTAAGACAAACTCTTTATTTAAATGAATATAAATATCACCAGCTAGTT